AGCTTTGAGGACAGTAGCTCCCCCGTCGCCCAGGGTGCTGGCTGTTAAACGAGCCCTGTTCCTTCTGCACAATCCTTGTCCCCGGATGTTGGCCTTTGAGCGGTGAGCCGCCCAGATCTTCTCATGTAAAATTATTTGGCTGGATTTTCCAACTCCGTAACTGCAATTTGTTTTTATTTTCATGAAGTCCTTTGGCTCTTAATGATGTCTTCTCATTTTATGAGTTCCATCTGTCTTTATTTCTTTGGCCAACTTTGTCATGTTTATGCAGAAGCTGCGGCAGGATGTTTTATCATTTCTAGTTCTTTGGATGCAAACTCTCCGACACAGTCTTTGCTGACTGCCCCTCATCGCGGTGCATTTTCTCTGTGCTTGGTACCTACTACTCATCACCTCATCTTCCCCAGAGTTGACACAGGCTGTAATGTTCCCTAGGGAGGGAAAGTGTGTTCATGGCGTAGTCTTCAGATCTGCTTAATGAGTTCACTGGCTCTGAATCAGTTTGGCCTGTGATTCTCTAGTTCGGGGTTTTTGCACTGTAGCACTGTGTGGACTTAGACTCCAAAATAGTCCTGGTTTGTGGCTCCCACTACCTGGGAGAAACAATTTCTGCCTCGGGCACCTTGTTTCCCATCTGCTTCTTGCGGCTGGATGGTGGCTGTTCTATTTCTTGTCACAAATCGGAAGATCTTCTCCGCTCGAAGCTCTTTGCAGAGAGCCCAAGTCCAGTTCCTCTTAAACACTGCATCCTCCAGGCTTCACTGAAGACCCCACACTGCACAGGCGTGAAACCCCAGCTCCTAGTTCCATGCGACTGGTTCAACACCTGCGAGACACTCAAGGTGTCGTTTCCCCCCTTAATCACTTAAGCTCTTTCTTACTGTCTAGCACCTGGAGATTCCCTCACATTGCTTTTAAATCTATGTACTTGTTTTCAAAAATAAATAACACTTTTTTATGTAATAAATAAATAAAGCATTTATTTTAACACATTCATATCTACGGGGGAGCACGTGTCACGAAGCACACAGCACTGTTTTTCTGACAAGCTATTGCCGTGTAAAAAAATAAAACCACAAAACTTAGTGACTAAAACCATCAACAAACTTTGTTCTTGCTTATAAACCGTCATTTGGGTAGGGTACCGGTGAGGGCTACAACTGGTCCACTGGTCAGTAAGGGCAGCTTGATAGGGGCTGGAAGTCACACTTCCAAGATGGCTCTTTTGTGTGGCTGGCAAGTCTGTGCAGGCAGGAAACTGGACCCAGAGAGTGCTGTCTGCCTAGGCTCAGTTCCTCTCCACGAGGCTGATTACACTTGCTCAGAGTTAGGGTTCTCTAGAAGAACAGGTCTGATAGAAAAAAGAATGCAAGGGAACTTCTTAAGTGAGCTTACAGGATCAGAAGGGGAGAATCAACCTTGGTCCAGCATCCAGAGAGGAAGAACCTGGCAGTGCCCAGCCATGAAGACAGAAGCCACAGAAGAAAAGGGACTAAGGATGCAGCACCACCCAGGGCTGGAGGCCTGGAAGCTCCCTGGAGGGTCGCTGGTGCAAGTCTGTGTTGGAAGGCTAACGGCAAACACTGCAGCTCTTCACAAACAGGAGCACTTCCTTCTTCTTTCTCTTTGCATTCCATTCAGGCTATAAGCATATTGGCTGGTGCCGCCCACAGCCAGGCTGGGTCTTCCCCCTTCAGTTTGCTGGCCTACACGTCAATCATCCACAGACACACCCAGAGTTGCGCTTGACTAATCTGCTTGGTGTTACTTCCTCCATTCAAGTTGACACATCATCATTCATGGGCACAAAGACGGAGCCTGAAAACCAGCACCATCACTGCCCTGTGGCAGTTGGGGTATCACAGAGCCTGCTCAGCTTCAAGGGAGAGGCTTGGTTGTGCCTCTAAAGAGAGAACCACCAAGGGCTTTGCAGCTAGCTCTAACTTTGGGAGGTGCTGGTCTCCGTTCTTCCTTGCTTCCACCAACAGGGATCAAAAAGACTTCTCAGTGAAAAGGTCCCGGAGTGTCCCCACAACCCCAAGCCTTATTTTCTTCTGCACTCCAAGTTACCTCTTTCCCTTTTAGAAAAACAAGGTTCTAAGCATGGCTAGGATAAGAGCCTACCACTTCACTCCAAGTCACTAAACTCATAGCAGTTTTCCTGATAATCTGTTGCCTAATTCCAAGCTGGTTTAAACTTCAACATCCTTAACAGCATGTTCATTTGCACCTCCAAACCTTGTCCCCCCTCCTTTGGTGGGGAGGGAACTTTGAGATATTTTAAGAACATTTTTCAATCATTCTTCCAAAAGCATGTCTGAAGAAAGGTACTTCTGATAAATATGTATGAAGTGGGAAGCATTTAAAAACAGTTGGACCTGTTTTGCATCCTTATATGTGTCTTTTTAAATTAATTTTGAATTCTTAAAGGGCTTCTTAGTCATTAATTACAATTAACTCCACCAATTGTCATGCCCCATGCATCCCTGATCCACTCCCTGAAGCCTAATCAATCTCCTTAATGGATGCCACATCGCGAGCGTATCACTGTGTCCTGGTGGTAAACAGTTTAGTAATCCCTGGAGCCCCAGGCAACCATCAGAAGCTGCTGCTGGACTTGAATTTTGTCCTAGAATTTGCCCTTAGCAATGCGTACTTCTCACTGACAGTCCCTCATCCCAGCAGAGCGGGATGCTTAGAGGCAAGACGGACTCCCTGGTCACCAGTGCCAAGTGCAGGAGCCCACACAGAGAAAGCAGCTATGGTAGATAGAGGGTTAGGATAATAGAATGGACGCCCAGATACACAAAATTAAATCCACAGAAAACAGTTTAAAGTTAGCAAATTAATTACTAAGCAAATTGGCCTTCATCTTTTCGGTAAATGGACCCAGATTCTGAGGCTCAGTGAGGGTCTGAGGGAGAGGTGCTTGCCGCTGGTCCCTCTGTTGCTCCGTGACACGACTCCAGGGCCACTAGAGCAGTGGCTATACCACCTGCCTTGGAAGTCAGCAGACCCAGACCCAGCTGTGTCCCCCCCGCAGCCGATATGAGCCGGGTCCTCTTTCGCTTCCTTACCACATTTCCAAAGGTGGGGAGCAGCAAAGCTGCGGGCACCTAAGACAGCCGCCTTAGGGATAGGAACAGGGTCATAAAACCTCTTTATTCTTTAATGACTGTATTTTACATGCCTAGAATTTCCCTTTGATTCTTTTTTTTTTTTTAACACCTGTTCATTTTCTTTCCGGTGCCCTACTTTTGCCTGTGAACTGTGTTCCTTTGACTTGTTGAAAACCTTAAACAGGCTTGTTTAGGAAACTTCAGTTCACTCTGCCACTTGTGGCTCTGGAATGCTAATTTCTTTGTGAGCATCCTTTCCCTGAGAGTCCCTGGCATCTTGGAGGTGGAAACCCTGTGCCCTGGCTTGGCATTTGCATCTATTGGCATAAAGTGGCTTTGACACTTCATGGTTTCTTGGGTACAAATATTGGCTCTATGTCTCAGAGGCTTCTGCGTTCCAAACTCAGGAGCCTCTCTGACAGCAGAGCAGGTAGCCAACACACTGAGGTGATAACCTTTCTCAGAGCTCACACTTAACAAAGGGTCTCAATTCCAGCTCTCCCAGACTGAAGGACTCACTTCAGCCCTGTGCCTCCTTTTGACCCTGCAGCTGAGCACCCATTCCTAACTTGAGTTTTGAGATCCATCTCAAAACTACTGGTAGTATTGTTATAGGCAGCTGAGTTAGATAGAAATATTATAGGCAGTCAGACAGGGCCAGGCCCTCGAAGGAGCCAACGTGAAAGACAAGATATGTATTTGCTGTGGGCCAGACCTCAAGACAAAAGACTAAACAAATACACCCACACACCTCCCTAGGTGTAAACATCAGGGATTGATATTCTAAATAGGTAGCAATCACCTTGAAGAGTCACTGACCCAACCCCTTACAGGAAAATTCCCTGTTCTGTATTCCTGCCTGCTTGCTACCTGACTCACTTCCCCATTTGATCCAATTTAATCAATTTTATCTGAACAGCTCTTATTGGTTGACCATAGTTTTGTCCATTTTTCCCCTACCATGGACCTACCTCTCCTTGTGATTTTGCTCTATAAAAGTCCCTAGAAAAGACAGTCTTGGGCAACCCGCTAGGGCCCCGCTTCTATCCCTCTCTTGGGCAGAAGATTTCTTTCCCTCAATAAATATATTCTGCTCTTAATTTCTGTTTTTCCTAAAATTCATTCTTCGATTTTAGAGAACACAAACTCGTCCCAGATATCATTCAGGTTGGAAGTTTTTATTTTCCTGTATCAGTATCTGAGTCTCTTTCCCTTGCTTTGAAGTTCAACTGCATTTACAATTTTTGTTATACTTTGTCCATTTTCGTCTGCATGTTAGGAGCAAGGAGAAGCATCCTATTCATTTCACTTTGCCATTTCAACTGTAAGTCTTACAAATAGACCCAATACACATGGCACCGTAACAGTGGTAGGGAATCACCAGTGCCCACTTAGAAGCATGAATCATTATTGTGTTTACAAGCTCCTCTGCTGGGTGTTAAATACCTTAATCTTCACAACCACTCTGTGAGCTATCCTTATCTCCATCTTATAGATAAGAAATTGAAGCTTATAGAGTAAAATCAAAAGGCAGAATTAGCATTTTCCTTCTTTTCAAAAAGGAAAGGCTACAATTGGCTCTGTCCCATTCAGAACTATGAACCAGCTTCTGCAGCTCAAGGCTTCCAGGAAGACCAGCAATAGGGAGACACAGGTCACATGTCCAGTTCACAAAATCCGGAACAGGTTTAAACCTTCAAGATCAAAGTAGACAAATAAATACGGACAAAGTGTGCTCTCCTCTGGGACTTTCCTCACTGATAGCCCTTGTCTCTGTGCCCTTGTCTATGCATTCCCATCACTTCCTGACCACACCCCAGACCCCAGGTGACTAAGGGGTTTGTGATCTCACCACACCAACACCCAGGAACCCCATGCAGACCCACACCCAGAGAGGATGTGACGCTAGGGACCAGGGAAAGCCAAGGCTGGCCAGAGGAACTAAATATCAATAACAACAAAAATGACCACAGAAATCCTGAGACAGCCACATCCTGGATTCTGACAGATGTTTTGTCATTGAAAGTCTTGTGATGCTACTGCTAGGTAGGTGTTCCTATCTCAAACCTCATGAGGAGGGAGGCAGAGCCAGAGTGGCTCAGTGACTTATCCACAGTCACTCAGGCACACAGAAGTGAGAACTGACCCCAGGTATCACTGGCAAAGCCAGAGTGTGTGCCCATGTGAGACCTCCTCTGAGAATCTGATGACGTAAAGGAGCATCCCCATCCTGTTCTTCTGGTACCCCTAGATCCAGAACTCAGGCTAGAAGACAGAGGGTATCCCTGAATGTTAGATGGATGGATGAATGACACACGTGTGGATGGGTCAGTGGGTAGGTGGATGGATGGACCGGGAGATGAGTAGATGGGTGGGTGGATGAGTGGATGGATGAGTAGATGAGTGGATGGGTGGATGGGTGGATAAGCAGATGGGTGGTGGATGAATATATGGATGGATGGATGGATGGATGGATGGATGGATGAATGGATTGTGAATGGATGACTTCACACCTAAAGCTACTGAGAGATCCTACCCAGGGCTCTGGGTGGGGAAATTTTAAGCACTGTGCATGCAAACCAAGGGACAAATTCTCTTCCTCCTCCACCTTCCCAGGGTAGTCCAGGTACAGGGATGGGTGGCACCCTACCCTCATTGAAACAGTCTTCTCAACCGGGGCTCCACAGAGTACACGTGATATTTCACAGCTCTTGGTCTGCCCTGTGTCAGCCCAGGTGTCTCTTGCTCCTGCTCGTGGGGTAGTGTCCTTTCAGAAAGCAGCCCTTCAGGAGCTGCCTCAGAGCTTCTTTCTGTAGAAGCCAGGCTAAGGCAGACAGCCTTCTTCTGCAACACATGGGGCCGGGAGCTCCTTCCTGATAGGTACCTCATCCCACCCTAGGGAACCTTCAGCACCCAACTCAGAGCACAGCCCCTGCCTGTGTATGCTGGATCCCACTGGGCCGTGATCACACTGGTGGGGCCTCAGGTGTGGGAGTGGACACAAGAAGTCCCTGTTTGAGATGCTTTGTCCACCATGAAACCAGAGGCTATGATGCCCTCCATTTTACAAAGGAGGTTGAGACAGGTCAGGGTCATAGCTAGTGAGAGAGCACTGGGGCTGCCACCCAGACTCTGCTCATTGTCCTGTCCATGTGCCTGTCTCTGCCCTGCCTGGTGCTTGGCAAGCCCTGTGCCAGCCTCTCAGCCTGTGCAATGAGTCCTCTTGGTTCTGGGCATGTCTCTAGGCTGTCGAGGGATGGCAGGGAAGCTCTCCAGAGCAGGAGGCCCTGGATATAGGGGTAGAGGGCATAGGTGGGGCTGCGGGCAGTTGGCAATTGAGACCCATAGGTAAAAGGTAGCAGAAGAGCTGCAGGCGAGGGCAGGTCCAGTGCGCTCCAGGGCGTCTTAGCCACCTCCTTGCTATGGTTTGCAGATGTTTGTGTGTCCTTGTGTCCCCTTCAGTGAGGAGGAAGCAGGGCCAAGAAAACAGAGCGCACCGTGTCAACAGTGCGGCAAGAGGCACCAGCAAGCAGCTCATCACGGCTGCAGGGAAATTAGTGAGGTTAGCAGAGCACACAGGCCCCTCCCACAGAGCTCAACAGGCTGAAGAAGGGACACGGGACACGGGGCTGAGAGAGCCTCGCCGTCATCCATCTGAGCACCTCAGGTCACACTGGTCCTGGTTGCCGAGGATGGTCTGCCTGAGACACTGCGAGAAGCACAACAACCTAACCAAAATCACAAGAGCTGAAAGGCAACACTTACCGAATTGCCCTGTGCATCACCTGCTGCTCCAAAACAGCAAGGAAGCCTGGGGACCAGGGAGGGGCACACACCACACACCTCTGCTTCCGGCCCCCGTGGTGGACAGGCAGTGTCTCTGTGATCCGAGCTCTGCATGGGAGCTCTGTGTGGGATCCCAAACTCGGGTCAGATGAGGAAGGGGCTCATGCAGCTGGAGTGGGGGGCAGGCAGAGAAAGCCCAGGGAAGGTCCAGAGAGAAGTGAGGCATTATCAGAACTCCAGACACGGGAGCCAAGGCTGTAAACTCAGCCTGCAGCTGTGTGCTGTGAAGGCTGTGAGCTGAGAATGGGTCTCACATCTGTAAAGAACTGGAAGGAGCAGAAGGGAGGAAGAGAAGGAGAGGAAGGAGGGCAGAGGGAGAGAGCAGTAGGAGAAGAGGGAAAGGTCTACAAAACCAACCGGGCCTTTCCAAAAGAAGATCAGGCAAGTGGGCAATGGGCTGGCCCCAGCCCCAGGGGTTAGACAAGGAGGGCCCTGTCAAGGCCAGCAGGGGAGGTTAGGGAACAGGCGAGCCTGGGCTGGGGACTGTGGCTCCAAGAGGGCTGGTGTTATGGTTTATGTCTAGACATCCCCCACAAAGCCTCAGGGCTCATTAAGGGATCTCTGAAGGTGGTTGGATTAAGCAGCTTATAGCTGACTTGTTCTTTCAAGGTGGGGCCTACTTAAAGGCCGTGGCAGTGAGCATGGCCTGGGAGAGTTTATCTCCCTTCCCTGCTCCTCTGTTGATCTCTCTGCTTCAGTCCCCCAACCCAAGCAGAGCAGGTCTCCTCCACCAAGCCCCTCTGCCATGCCTTCCTGCCTTGGAGTCAACTGACCATGGACTGAACCTCTACAAACCATGAACCAAAACAAACCTTTTCTTAGGATGTAGGCATCGGGTATTTTGTGCCAGCCCTGAGGGAAGTGACTAAGGCAGCTGGCCAGCACCCTCCCGGGTGAGGAATGCAGAACCGTCCTCTCAGCCCAGGGACTTCTTGGATTCCCCGTGTCCTGCCACGGTTCACATACAGGCTCACAACACACTCCGTGATGTGAGAAATGGTCAGACCCCAGCTGTAGGTTGGCCATGAGTCACCTGGAGCCTCCTAGCACCTGGAGTGTGGCGGGTACACAGAGAAACAGAACTTCCTGCTTCACTGTGATCCAGCTCAACAGGGCTGCCAATGGGAGAGGCTCCTGCACGGGAAAAGTGCCCAGAGCAGATTACCTGGACTCCCAGCTGGATGCTTACAAGCCAGCTCAGACCCAATACTGAGCCTTGCCGTGCCTCAGTTTCCTCTTCCACAAGACAGGATCCCACAGCACCTGCCAGAGCTGCTCTGAAGATGAGCAGGGCAATGCCTAAGGCACACAGATTAGCCTGGCACCGGGGGAGTGCCAAGAACCACAGTCACTGTTGTTGGTGGCATGGATGCCCTGGCAGAGACTGGTAGGCAGCTGGACCCTATCCTCACATGACTGTACAGTCGAGGAGGAGAACCAGGGCCAACAGGAAATCATGAAATAAATGTCAGGTGGACAGGGCTCCAGGAATATGCGTGGTGTCCAAGGCAGGAGGCCAGGCAGGTGGAAGCAGGGCAGTGATGCTCGGTCAGACAGTGGAGGAGAAAAAGGAAGACGGTTCCTGGTAAAGCCAGCAACATGGGCAGAGGCCCTGCCCTGCCGTGGCGCAGTAGCAGTTGGTTATGGGAAAGGCACTGCTGCTGGAGACCAGAAGACACAGGGCAGGACAGGGACGGGGTCAGAGGTGGGGTCTGGGCCACACTCCGCAGGGCTCGAGCTGAGAGGGCGTGCCTTCATCCCAGGGGCGTGGGAAGACACCAGGGGATCCCGACTGCAGACCACGGCCCGAACTCCACTTCCTTTCCAGGACAATCAGGATCTGTCCTATTCCCGAGCATCAACCCTCCTGGGCACCAAGGATGAAGACAGGAAGCTCAGAGGACCAGGCCCACGGGAGCCTAGAAGCACTGTCACACTCACAACTGCCCTCACCTAACTCCCAGGCTTTGGGGTCAAAAGTCAGGCATGGGTCTCCCAGAGATGTTAAGGCATGGCCAGGGCTGCAGCCTACCTTTCTTAGCTCCTGGAGACCCTGTGTAGTTCCACTGGAGCCCTCCCCGGACCATCCAGGGCCACCTGCTACCTCAAGGCCAGCTGCTTGGCAACCTTAACCCTCAGTGACCTTCATTCCATGTTACCAGGAGCCCTAACATATTCACAGGCTCCAGGCCGGGCAGCGGGAGGTCTGAGGGCTGTGATTCTGTCAAGCACGTTGACAGCCACTCTCTGGCCAGAACTCTCCCTTTAATCCCACCAGGATAAAAATGGAGGCTGCCTAGCCAGGCTGACCAAAGCCTGAAGGAAAATTAGTTCCATAAACCGGTGATGAGTGCCAAAGTGACTAGCACCAAATCAGTTTCTCCCGTAAGAAATAATGTCATTAGAAATAATTGGCAAAACTTCCCAGAACGCTCACATTTTATTGGCTAATACTGGCCTTTGACTGAGCTGATAGAAGCCTTGTAGGCTTAGTGAGATAACACGTAACCTTTGTGTGACTCACGATTAGCACTAAAAATGCACGAAAGTACCGGACAGGAAGTAGGGGTTCTGAGCTGTTCCAAGGACCCAAGCGCTGAGCCCTGAAGTGTTTCCTCTCAAAATGCCAGGAGGAGCGGGCTTGATGAGTGTCCAGCCGGCGAGGACCGAACGAGGACTGCTGATCTCAGGTTGGCCCAGGTGACAGCCTGAGAAGACCAGAGAGGTCGCATCTATGACCAAGGGGAGAGGAAGCGCAGGGTGGCAAGCGGGAGCAACGGCCTTGGTCTTGGTTCTCCTGCACCTGGTGAGGCTTGGAGAGGTGAGGCCCTTGACCCTGAGCCTGCAGCGCACAGGCGGACACACAGGTTCAGGCCTGGCTGGACTCCCAGGGCTCTGCAAAGCAAAACACAGCAGGGTCATGCAGAGGAGCCAAATGGAGCCGCCGGTGACACACAGCTGTCCCAAAGCCCTTAAACGATAGGCTCAGGCCAGGCTCAGTGGTCCCATGGCTCCCAGGGCAGGGGCGGCCCTTGCAGAGAAAGCTGGAGCCTCCGGGGCAGACCAAATCCCGGATCAGAGTCTCAGCCAGGGCTCAGCCTCGTGGGAGATATTTTGGACCCTTAAATCCCAGCTATATCCCAACATCCCCCAAATAACTGAAAGCTCTGGCTGGCCTGATCCAATGAAGCCAAGGACATCTGAAAGCTGGCCTGAAGAAGGAGCTGGGGGGAACTGGGGCCGGGCAGACAGGGGCCCACCAGCAGGTCCAGCCACTTGCAGCACGTCCCTGTCACCTGTGAGTCCATTCTCCTCCGGGCATGTGAAGACCCCTGTGGTACCACATGGGGGTTGATGAAGATTCCTGAAATAAAACATCAATGACCAGGTCAGGCTGGCATGGTGGTGAATACCTTTCATCCAGCACTCTGGAGGGTTGCAAGTTCAAGCCCAGCCTGTGCAACCTAATAACTCTTAATGAGACCCTATTTCAAAACAAATGATTTTTGAATGGTCTGGGGATGTAGCTCCGTGGAAAGGCTCTGGGTTCAATCCCCAGTGCCACAAATAAACAGAAAGACCAGGCCCAGCAGGTAAAGCTTCCCACAAACAGTGCACAGTACTGGGAGCACAGGGGCTGGGGGTCCCAATTGTCAGCTCATTCTCTAGGCCATCCCCTCCCCACATCTGCTGGGGGCCCTGATTCTCCCTGACCTGGCTGTCCCCAGGTCAGATACTGTGATTCTTCCCGCCCTCTGATGGGCCCCCTCATTCCTGCTACAGACCCTTGTTCATTGGCTTTTATCCCAGCAGGCGCTCTCCCTCTTATCCCAGAAGCTGCCCATTCTCTGGCCCTCCAGCCCACGTCTCTTCCCCCATTTCACTGTTATTACAGCACTGAGGACCATGTGACCTCACACTACCCATGTGTCTGCCTGTACGGACAGAGACTGTACCTCTCCAGTCGGCCATGAGGTTGCAAACCAAGGTAGACCTGGGCAGTCCCCAGTGCAATGTTGTGCCATTGGGTCTGAGCAGAGGGGAAGGGACAGTGCACTGTCCGTCCCTTGGCCCCATCCTCCCACTTCTTACCCATTCTTAAATGGAGAGGACAGAAGAATCCAGCCACATCTCACACCCTAGGGGTCGGGAGCCCAAGACACAGGAATAGAAAGCTGGAGATCTCCCAGAATGCTAAGGACAGAGGGGGCCATCACGGCCCAGGCTCCCACTAAGCACAACTAAAATATCTGGGCAAAAATATTTCCTTAAAAATGGTTGGAGAAATGACAAGGAAGTGAAAATCTATGGGCCAGGCTCTGCAGGAGGCGGAAGGCAGGTCAGTGTGTGGGGCTGCTCTTCCTGAGGGCACCACACTGGGCTGAGACACTCCCAGCCCTTTCACAGCCAGGGATCAGGATGACAGGAGGGGACACCATGTCAGGAACAGGGGCAAGCCGACTCCTCAGGCATCAGGGGAAACCCAGGTGTCCTGGGATCTGCTCAAGTTCTCAAAAACAACGGGCAGAAGTGTGAGTCATCGCCCAAGGAGCTGTGTGATGATTGGGATCGAAATTATCCCAAAAGGCTCACGTGCCCAGAAGGGGCATTTGGAAGGTGACTGGATCAGGAGGGTGCTGACTTTAACAGTGGATGAATCCATTGATTTCATGGTTGAGTGGGGCTTGCACTGTGATCAAAAAATAAGGTAAATGTTTACTTTTTTTTAAAAGAAATTGATCATAGCAAATGACAAATTGTCATTAATATCCCCCAAATATTCCCTTTTGCTTCCCTTTTATCCCACCATTCTTACCAAGTTCTGAAGCACTTCTAGGTGTCCTCTTTCCTGAGTGTCTTGAGTTTGTGCTGTTCTGGCTCCCTCAATGTCCTGAATCAATTATAGACATTCGCCTTTCATGGCCGTCTTAATTTTGGAAAGAAGCAAAAGTTGCACTGGGCTACATCCAGTGAACAAGGAGGATAAGGACATACCATAATGTTTTTATTTGATAGAAACTGCCATAACCATTTTGAATCAATTCAAGATATTTTGAATCAGTTCAAGATCACTTCAAGGCAGCCATGAAAAGATAGAAAAGAGACATCCAGAACTGCTGCAGAAAGTGGCACAAGTGATGGGAGAAGTGTGTACAAAATGAAGAAGAGGATTTTGACAGGGATTCACACCACTCTGTCTTTCACTGTAGTAAATTTTAAATTTTTTATTTAAACATTCATTGCATTTTTTATCACATCACATCAGTCACTGGAGTATCCGGGAAAGGTATATCTTGTCCCTTGACTCTTTCCTTCTCTCTGCTTCCTGACTGTCTTGAGGTGAGCTATTTCTTAGGCCACACCTTCCCCAGGGATGTCTCCAGCTTGTCACAGCCTAAAGCAATGGAGACAGCTTACCATGTACTGAACCCTCTCAGACCATGAGCCAAAATAACCCTTTTCTCCTTGAAGCTGTCACAGTTACAGAAAGCTGACTAATACAAGATGATGTTATTCCAGGCTACCATTTATTCCTGCAGACAACTTTCAAAAAACAATACCAGACACCCTGTGACCATGCACAAAAAGTCAGGACAGTGTAAACAGAACAGCAGAAATAGCCAGGAACAGAAAGAGTCCCAGATGGTCTCAATACTAGAGTTATTGATATGTGCCTTTAAGTAACCAAGTTTACAATATTCAAGGAAATAAAAGATGAAATTAAAAATGTCAGTATAGAAGAGAAAACTCCTAATTAAAAATGGAAATTCTAACACTGAACTATCAAATTACCAAAATAAATGAAGTAGATAGACTTTAGAGACAATTTAACATAATGGAAGTGAGAAACTATGAAAGAGAAGGACTCAGTGGTGGAGGGTTTGCCTAGTATATCACTTAGGGTTCACTAGAGGAGCAGATTTAATATAATATAATATATACATCACATATTATTTGATATACATAGGACTTACAAGATAGGCTTACAATGGCCACTTATAAAGTGAGGTGTAGCAGAGTGCAAAAGGGACTTTGGCTACCTGAAGGATCCGGTCAAAAGTCGAAGGCCTGGAGAGGGAGAGAAGGAGAAGGAGAGGAAGGAGGAGAATAAGGAGGAGGAGGAGGAAGGATACAGAAGAAGAAAAAGAAGTGTAGGGGGAGAATGAGGAGTCCATATAAAATATCCAGATACTTATAACTGGGGTCCCAAAAGAAGATTAGAGAGTGTAGAAGTCAGAAAGAAAAACTGAAACATAATAGTGAGGAATTTTGAAAGTGAAAGACATTAAGAAATGCAAGACATTAAGCCACAGAAACAAGAATCCTACAAACCTGGTCAAACAAATAATCAGAATTGCCACCCAGCTACATCACCACAAAACCATTGATAACTATAAAAAGAAGGATTTTTTTAAAGAAAGAAAAAGATATATGACCTTCAAAGAGTGACAAAGTGACAAGTGACTTTTAGACAGAAACCACAAAAGCTAAAATATAACGAATGGTGTTTATGACATGCTAACAAGAACAATATACCAATAGAGAATGATACAGCTGCTCAAAATATCCTTCAAAATTAAGATTACTAATAAAAGCATAGTCATAAAAGCAAGATGGGGCATTCAATACTAGAAGACTGCACTAAATGAAGGACTAAAAATTGTGCTAGAAGCAGAAAAAAGTAGTCCTAGCTGACAGCTAGGCAATACAAAGAAGCTATAAGGAACAAGTGTGTAAGTGTATATGTGGGATACTAGTAGCTTAGTGGGCCTAAAACATAAAGAGAATTAAAATACAATGACAATGCCCTACAAGTAAATGGACCTTGGGTGTTTTAAGGTCCTTAATGGTCCAGAAGCAATTACTATTTGATTTCAGTAAATAAAGAATGCACATTACAATATTCAGGGGAACCACTAAAAGAATATTAAAATAGTCTAAAATAGTCTCAGGTGCATGAAGGAAGAGAAATAATAAAAGATATAATCCATAAATGGCAATAAAGGAGAGCGAACAGTGGAGCCACCAGGGCAAGCAGGGAGCACTTGATGAATTTAAGCTCACGTGACCAGGTGCCACCTCAAGCGCAGGTGCAATAGGCTCCCTGTTATGGTGGAGGTTGAGATGCTGCGCTAAAAACTAGAGGCAGCACTGCTGTGCTGACAAGCGACATCTACTGGACACATAGAGAACAAGGGTAAAGCTGAGAGAAAAGCACTATCTGTCTATCTATCTACCTACATGTCTACCTATACACACACACATACAGTACATGCTGAGAATACCTATCCAAGTTTGTTGGTTGGTCCATTTGTTTTTAAGCCATGGAGCTATGTTGCTGTTAGATAAAGTAGACTTTTGGGAGATACAGAGGAACACTTCATTATAAAATTTTCCAAGCACCGGGAAGGTTAAAAATAGTCTCAATGTTTGTGTACCTAATAACATAAACTCAAAGCGTATCAAACGAAATTGGTAGAACTGCAAGGAGACGTAGAACACCCACAAGCAAATGGAATGTGTCAACACGGGTGTTGGGTGCTGAGTGAACAAGCAGGGGAAAAAGGTCAGTAAAGAAGGAAAGTTGAGGAGGAGGAATAACAAACTGAGCCAAGTGGCGCACGCAGAATCCCATCCCCCCCAGCGGCCAAGGAGCCGTGCCCTGCACACACACCTGCTGAGATGTCAGGCACTAACTGAGACTCATCCATCTGGGGGGTGAAAACACAGAGCATCTGTCCCTTAATGACACAGCGGCAAGCTTCCCTTCAGAGAGCGTGGAGGAAGAGACGGCCAGCCACACTCACTGTCCAGGTGTCCCAGGAGAACCCTGGGCTCTCCCGACTCGAGGCACTGGCTTCCGCTGGAGCGTGTCACCACTGTGTGTGAAAGGGGGACTGGGAAGGACGTCACTCCAGTGGTGCAGGAGTGCAGAAGGTAAGGCCTGGCCACCAGCACAAGCGCCAACTGCAGGGATCCAGGAAAATTTCCAGTGCTTCTGGAGGAAGAGAAGCCAAAAACATCTACTACACTGGGGAAGGGGCAGGGAGGTCCCTGGGCCCAAGGCCCCCACCAGTCAAAGTGAGGCCAAGATGGGGGCTGGGGATTCAGCTCAGCGGCAAAAGCGCCTGCCTGGCAAGCGCAAGGTCGTGAGTTCGGTTCCCAGTACCGGAGAAAAACCAAAAAAA